AATTTTAGCTTTCAAAACAGCAAACAACGGTCAAAATATTTCAGTACAGATTTCGCTCAGTCCTTCACTACTAATTTTTCTCTGTTAAGTGCCTTTCCAAGAGCTACTGTTTTTGTTGCCCCATCTTGTACCCTTGTGGGGTAAATAACGTCCTATTAGGTCTGACTTCAGGGAACAAAACTGTTTGTTTCTCCATTTGCTTATTATGAGTGTTTGAAATACGCCACACAAAAACTTGCCGGCAGAAATATCTCCTTGCATTTATACTTTGTTTCCTAGAAAAGGAGTCTTTCCTCCCACCTGAATAAATACAACCAAGTAGCAACTGTTTAAAAGAGGAACTGGCACAAAGTATTTACATAACATTTTATACCTGATTACATTGCAATTTTGTTTTATCCAACAAAATAATGCTGGGCAGCAGTTGGGGGAAGGATCCCTACGTTCAAAAAAGCCACTGTGCTCAAGTTTGATTCCTACCTGTTGTGCCTTTTAAGCCAGGATTACCTATAACACCTGTCACATACAGTTACCCAGGCTGACTGCAGCTCTGGGAAGCTACAATATGGGCTGTGATTAATTTGAAGATTTCGGAATAATACTGTTATAAAAGCTACACTCTGGACAAAAATAGGATTAAGCTCTGTGGCTGTATGTGAGCTAAAAGTGTTGAAAGCTAAAGTCCCTCTGCCACCGCTCACGACGTGCAGTTTAAAATGACAGACTTTGCTAAGTTCAACGTTAAAGTAGAAGTGTTTTCAATTATTCATCTTCATTGACTTCATATTGTCTTTTTTTTTTCCCCTCACTGCTTAAACTGATAATTACTTTGAGCAAACAGGCGGCCAGCTCCCATAGAAATGCTTTAATAGAAATGGTCGAAAGTTCTCGTAGTAAAACCTTCAACCTCGCCACTATAATAAATAAGCCTGGCACTTTGATGAAAATTAACACTAGTTTTGTAAAGAGCACATTGGGGGATTGCAGTCAGGTCTTATCTTTAGTTCCAGTCAACTAGCAATCCTGAAAGAGTTTGCATCATCATCAGAGCAGGCCATTTGATAGGATTCTGCT